GGGTGTTTTTTGCATTTATCTCGATAAATATTTGCTCGATTCATTCGATTGATAGCTTAAACGATAGATATTTTCAATACCTACAACTATTATTTAAAGCTTTTTTCCCTAGCTAGCAGTTCTTCTTCGATAAAAGCAAAAAACCCATTTTCAGCACTTTCAATCATTATTTATAACAAGTGCTGACAAAAAATTTTGGTTGCACGACTATAGGGGTTCATCAGTGAAGCGCACACTACAAGGTAATGTAATCGGATTTCAGTTAAACATTTTTGCATGAAATTTTCCCTAATGACTGGACTATAGGTTTGATAAATTTGCAAAAGATCCGAGCACCATTGAGCGTAACATTCGCGTGCCGCTCGCGATGTTGCAACGTGATTAGCGAAGTCAATGAAATTACGACGTATTTGCATGCGATGTTGTGAGGCATCCGCGTAACGTGCACGAGTGATATCATACCGTCAGCATGAGTGATCGGCTAATTATATCGTAATTAAAACAGAAGTTGAAAGGCGAAATACGCGGCATAATCCATGTCAAATGAGATAGATATCTGTCGGCTAAACGCGCGTCGAATATTCTACCGCGCAGACTCACATGCAAATAGGTCTTAACTATTACTAATGATTATTTCATGCACGCGCAGGCACATCTTGCAAAAATTATGATAATGGGGTTTTTGTTTTTTTTTTGTACGCTTGATTTTCTCTCTTTTGCATTTGATTTTCTCTAGCCGATAGGTATATATATAGAAACGTTCCGACTGAGTTTTCTCTCACCGATGTTGGGAATATGATTCTTCCTCTTTTTTCACGAATTAACGAAAGCATCCTCAATAAGACGAGGAACGTCTTAAGTCACTGAGGACTCGGACGATTCAATTAACGAGACGAAGATCCGGGATTAAGAGCCGATTTACCAGGAAGACGCGTAAACAGAGTTGTAAATTTTTCTCCGACCGGGGGAGCGTTTAATTGAATCTCTGAAAAGAAAAAGAAGTGATCGTTCGTATGACCGCTCGTCTAAATAACGTGTCGCGAAGGATGGTGTGTTTTCGACTTTAGAGAAACTCTTAGAAGTCAAAAAAACGTTTGATTGTGCCAAGAAAATACCTAGAATTAAAAAAAAAAAAAAAAAAAAAAAATCACAGAGAAACGACCGCCGAGGAGAAAAAGTGATAATACGCGCGCGTATGTGCAAGATAATAATTGGAATAATTTTATTAGCACAAATCTGACATTATTTTACGTATTAAAGTATATTGCCAATATTACAATATTGGCAATATAATTTTGCAATATAATATATTACAATATGATATATTACACATAAAATTAAGTGTGTTAAAATGTTATTACTCTATGCTAAATTTGTAATTAATGTGGCCAGTTACAGGTGCGTATAGGATAACGTGTTGAATTTGCCGAGAAATTTGTACGTCAATATTGCCGCGTATACGGCTTGCATGTGTACACACAAATGCGTTTACTGCTAAACGTGTGTAGAATATCGAGTGTCATGAATACTTCTCACCTGCATTATTGGATTAAATAACTGACTTTATACGTTTCTTCCGACTACATCTTGTGTGTACGTACAAAAAATTAAAAAAATGACAATGAGATTTTTTTTCGAGTATGTACCTACATTTGATGTAAGAGCTCTCTTAGTATGAAAGTAATATATATATATATTTTTTTTTTTTCACACGAACGTAACAAGCTATCTCGATCGGCCATTTACGTAACTTTCGCGCAAAACCGCAACTCTTGTCACTTTTCAATATGGCAGTCGAACGTGGAATTGCATCGCATTTGATATTTCGATGTGAATTTTACGGATGGTCGAATTCACATTTACGTTTTGAAGTTTTGGACGAATTCAAAAGCCAAATATCGCTCCCGATAGTTGCGCTCTCTTTATGTAATAGTTCTTTCTTTCTCACGGTACTCTGTGAGAGAGACAAAGCGAATAAATAGATCAAAACGCTATTGTCTTTATCGTGGAATATACAATAATGTATCTGCTACATAACACAGGTAAATTATAGTTATAATGTATATGCATGAAACAAATATATTTAATCCAAAATGAATGTATAAATTCGGCAAATTTGAATCAAATGCAGAATGTAATGCAAATAATGTATTAAATTTTAATGTATCATTATCAATAGGTTTTTGACTTCAGTTTTAAGTCATCTTTAATTGATGATACACACTTAAATTAACAATCTAACAATCACTTTAGCATCGAGCAATGTAAAATTTCTCATTACACTGTTTTATAAACTACATGACTCTTAATACAAAATGTTGTCAAACTTTTGCAAGTAAGGTGTGTGAGCTGTCACAAGTTCAACATCTCAAAAGTCAAACTTAGAACTACTAGAGTTTAATATATTATTTGCATCCTGAATTTTGTTTAAATTTGTCGAATTTATTCCTTTTGGATAGAATAGTGCTAACCGTTTAGAAACTAAGGACAGTCTCATAATATTTCTCTCTATAAATATATTTATTTTCATTATTTTATTAATATATTGTATATATATAAACTAAGTAAACAAATTAGTAGATATTAGAAAGAGAGGGGGGGAGAGAGAGAGCAAAACTCCGATAAAACTTATCGCAGCTATTGGTAAAGATGTGTGGCGAGCATAAAAAATAAAATTTAAAACTAGAAGAGAAATGCGAGAATGAAACGTTGTGACACATGATATTTGTCGACCGGGTCGAAATGAGAGCTCGAAATAGAAATATTGCTCTCTCGATTATTAGCGTAGATTTCACACAAAGATTTTCAACGTAATTCAAACATATTTCTTTTTGCAATGTCTACTCTTTTCCGTTTTGCTTATATAAATCTCTCTGATGCTAAATTTTTAATTTAAAAAGCATATTATTTGTTCTCCTTACTCGAAAAACCATAATTTACAATAGAAGTGAAATATAATATATAAAAACGTAAATTTTGCAAACGCTCACGGTATTCATGTGACACCGGGTGATCCGCGCGAGTCACATAAAATACAATATTTGTTAAAATACGTGTGATGAAAAAATAATATTCGGCTTTAATCCGCTACGTTTTCTGCTCGTCGTGCAATATAGCGAAATATATCGAGCACGCGCGACCATTTTTTGTAAACATTTCCAACATTTTTCAAAAATTTGAACCTGCGGTTTTAATATTATACAGCACAACGTAAACAAAAAAAAAAAAAAAAAAAAAAAAACACGTATCAAGAGCGAAAAAGGAAGCGAGCAATATGGTTAATTGTGTGCGCTTTCATATTGTTGCAGGAGAGAATCCAGCCGCCATGCAACACGGCGGCACTTCGGCCCCGAGAGCGACCTTTATCTTCACCGTTGTGATATCACTATCGTCGCTTCTAAGGTGACCATGATGACCCCAGTGCGTTTTGAACCTGCGATTCGAATGGTGCTAACTTTCTCACCTTCTCCCTACGGAAACTCGTGCGCACTCGGAGTGTCCTTCCGGATATACGGACGGAGAACTTCGAGAACATTTGAGCCGCTTCGCTCCTTTTGCAGGAAACCGCATGGCAATTGGCGCGAGAAAATTGCAACGGAACACGGATATATATATTCTCACGCACGGGACACGAACACGTATGTGCGAGACAGAGACGTGTCACATCCCCCTTCGTGAATCCCCGATCGTGAAGCAACTTTCGAACGAGTAGCTTCGCTAGAAAGAAGCACCATCTCGCAATTTCGGCGCGAGACGGCACGCGTATCAGTTTCTTCGCAGACATTTCTGAGTATCTCACGGAGAAACTTGACTAATCGCTTCCAACTACGATCGATGTACAGGAGATTTAACGACGGAATAGGGTTCGCGCTTAAGAGAACACGCGCGCTGCGAATTTCGGGAAAGAGACGAACAGAAACTTTTAATCTCCGCCTCGTTTGCGTGCGTGCGAGTGTGCGTGTGTGTGCGTGTGTGTGTGTGTGTGTGTTCGAGCTCCTGGTATTAACTAATGTGCGGACGCGTTGTTTTATTGCGCGCGCGTTGTTTAAGCGCGTGCTCAAATGCGGAATCGTTGATTTAAAAAAATTCCGTTCATGTGATATAAATACGTAACGCGCGTGAAACTACTATATATATATATATATATATATATATATATATACACATATATACATACATATATATATATATGTATCTGTGACGTGAGTGTTCATGAAGCAAGTGATGGTGGGAAAACAATCACGTGATGTGCAAACAATTGCAATCGACATTTTCATTTTTACTCTTTTATCTTCAAACCGTCAAGCACTTTCAACATCCGCGCTCGATACACAGCTGACTTCTGGAAGTACCGACGTAGACATATTCTATTTGCTCTTAGTTTTCGAGTGCACATACGCGATGAGAAATTCTTTTTTCATCAATTTCGACATCATTTTTCGGAGGGTGTAACACACACAACGAAAAGAAATATCGATCGAAGACTTGTTGGAGAGAGAGAGTGTAACTCTAACAGCAAACGCGTTTTACAAAAGTTTCGAATATATATATAGGTATATATACTTTTGTATATATGCATACATATATACTTTTTTATATGCGTATATATTTGTTGAACTTGTATTTAACTTAGACGTTGCGCACACCGTTGTGTACGTTTAGTGCGAGAATAATATAAAATTTCGAAACACAGAGATTTGTCAAAGTGATGACACCGTCCAAGAAATTCGGCATTGCTAAAGTTGCGTCAGTAAATAAGTAACGTTTTGTTTTAATCGAGAAGTGAAACATGTGCTAGTTACGCGAAGTTCCAACTTTGTTTCTCCCGCAGCAGTTGAAGTGTGCAATTACGTGTCTGCAATATAATAAAAAAAAAACAATGTTTCCGTTCGCTCCTTCTCGATAATCACAAAATCCGCGCGTATTTGTACATCGTAAGTTTTGTTTCTTTTGTATCAAAAACAATTCATCGAGCAAGTCAATGTTTACTCGCCAGAGATCATTAGCCTATGATTTCACCAATTAAATAACCAACGATAAGAAAAAATCGTTGGCGTTATTGTATCACTAGGACTGAATATTTTCGAGGCTCGCAATGAATCGAAAAAGCAATTTGCTTGAAACTAGCATAAAAGAAAACAAGCATGAATGATTGTGATATGTTTATTATAGTTTAATGACTTCATATGCTCAATGAACATGCGCGACATGAAAGCTACGCGGAGAATGCATTCATCATCCCTTCGCTTCGCTCGCTACTCAAAATACGCCTGACGCTGATGAACATGACGTAAAATCCGCTGGCTATCAAAAGAATTATGCAGCTACCGTAAATAGAAACAGAGTGTTTTTTTACATAAACCTTTTTTTTTTTTTACATAGACTCTTTTTCTTTCACAGTTGCTACGTTACCAGATTTCAACATTATAAAAAAACAACATTATATAAATAAACAATATTCGAGTGTCTCTTGAAAGCGTAAGCAATTAACTATATGATTTTTATCAATCTCAACAAAAAAAAACAATATAAAATTGAATTGTTTTATATACATTTTGTATGAAAAAAATTCTCTTCACACGTGCAACGATGAAAACACGTGTCAAGTGTTTTTTTTACCGGAACAATTTTGAAACGCGAGCAATTTTTAACTCTTCGTGTGTATATATATATATATATATATATATATATCGTTCGTAAATTATATACATTTCAAAGATATCACAATTCCATTTGTGAATAAAATACGCGTTAAACAAGAAATATAATGCGCACAAATAGCGCGTGTGTATTTGCATTTTGGAGATTTTACAAATGCTCAGTGTAGTGATGAGTATGCGTATACGTACGATTGCGTTAGAAATGTATTCGAAGCACTCGGGCAGAACGTGTGTGGGAATTGCGCGGGACGCGCGGGCTGCGGCACACGGTAAAAGCGCGACAGTCAGACAAGGATCGATCGGGCAACAAATTGCCGATCGTGCCGATGGAAAATGAACCGTTAAGCAGCCCACCCTGACAATGACGTACGGTTAGTTTGGCGTAAATCAGTAGTTTCTACTCGCGACGATGCCCTCGTTTTCGGCGGCTGTGTAATGTGATAATTTAACAGAGGCATTATTGCACGAGCAGGTGCAAAATATTTCAACGAGACGCGTGCGGCCGCGCGCGCGCGCGCGCAATTTGTTACGCAAAAACCACATCCGACGTAACCAGCGTACTATAAATTTAATTATTATTTCGAGAGGAACCCCGAATCTGGAAACACGAGTATCGAAATAAATTGCAACGACGTTCGAGCGTTTTGCCGAGCAAACTTTTCAATCTTTCCATTCGCGGGTCTCGCTTTTTTTTCTTTCTTTTCTTCTTTCTCGTGCGGCTTTCTCGTCATTTCGCATTTCTTTTGATTATCATTGGTTTCTCTCTTCCATTGCTGTTTCTTCTTTATGTTTTCACGAAAGTTTCGAGACGTTTGTCGACCGCGTTCTCTTGTTCCTGCAAAAGCGTGAAGTTCAGATGACCTTAATTCGCGGAAGCTCAATTTGTGAATTAATGTCAAGTGCGCAAACTCGAACAGACAGTTTTACAACGTTGTCGGGAGCGTAAGCGCAAATTTTCCACGAGAATCGTTCAATTTTGTTTGTCGACTGTTATCAGTTTCGATTGTTTACCTGATCCACATTCGCTCTCACATGACATTCGGTCTTTTTCAAAACGATGCTGAAAGAAAGAAAAAAGTGACAAATATATATTGAATGATATTATTAATTCAGAGAAAAATTATAACGTGCAGAGAGACAGAAGAATAATTTTTGTTTAATCCTTTCAGTACATTTCTGCTGGTTAATTTTTGATATTAGATATTACGACGGGAATCGAATATAAATTTCTATAGATATATTATGTAACAGATCTCAAATAAATGTGTGTAATAAAAGATAATTGCGTCGAATTAATTTCTATTGCGTCAAAAGCGAGTCTCGAAAATACATATATATATATATATATCATCTACAGGGTGTTTCAGAACTATGGGATCAAACTTCTAGGGGTTATTCAGTGCAACAGTAGAAAACATTTGAGTATAGGGACCCATGTCCGGAAAAGTG